AGTTTTCACTCCTAGGACTATCAGTTTCCTCCCTAGGACTATCAGTGCTCTCAAAACTTTTCTATTTCAGCAAGCTGGCCTGGCCTAACTCCCATCTTTTAAATTTTTTAATTTGGGATTTTATAAATTGGGTGTTTTAATCTGTGTTTCGGCCGAAATATTTAATAATTTTAAGGGATTTTTTAAAATATTTGTATTATCTGTATTTTATCTTGGCTGTTCACCGCCCTGAGTCCTTCAGGAGTAGGGCGGTATAGAAATTTGATTAATAAATAATAATAATAAATAAATAAATTAATGTGGATTTTGGAGCATTAACACAGAATAAAGGGTCCAGATGGACTTGGAATTAAACATTTTAATTAATTAAAAAGAATCTTTCTGTTTGAAATGGTGATTGTTGGGGAGGAAGGACTATCATGAACGTGAGAATGAGATCTCAAAGATTTGACACTAGAGGGAGGTAGAAGATAATAAATCCTTACATTATAATAATTATAAATTATAATAAATCCTTAATACCAATTGAGACAAATGGTTGTTCAATCTCTTCTTTAAAATCTCCAGTGTTGGAGCACTCACAACTTCTGGAGGCAAGCCTTTCCATTGATTACTATATTTTTCAGACTATAAACGCACCTAAATTTAGAAGAGGAAAACAACAACAAAAAGTTTTTGGCCTATCTTTTTTGGGGCCTTTTCCAGTCTTTTTTCGGCCTGTTTTTGAGGCTTTTTTCAGCCCATTTTTTCGGCTTTTTTCAGCCCATTTTGGGGGCTTTTTCAGCCTGTTTTCAAGGCTATTTTTCAGCCCATTTTTGAGTCTTTTTGCAGCCCATTTTTGAGGCTTTCTTCAGCCCATTTTTTAGGCTTTTTGGGGCCTGTTTTCAAGGCATTTTGTGGCTGTTTTGAGGCTTTTTGCGGCCCATTTTTGCAGCTTTTTGCGGCCCGTTTTTTAAGCTTTTTTCGGCCAATTTTTGGGGCTTTTTTCAGCCTGTTTTTTCCGAAAATATTCAGTCTATAAGATGCACAGACATTTTTGCCCCCTTTTGGGAGACAAAAAAGTATGTCTTATAGTCCAAAAAATATGGTAATTATTCTAATTGTCAGGAAATTTCTCCTTAGTTCTAGGTTGCTTCTCTCCTTGATGTCAACTTGCAAAGCTTTCAAGTTGCCATGAGCAGGAGGGAGGGAGAACTGATAGAGCTGATTGATTTCCCTAACTGAAGTGCATTCCATACATTCTTCCTGACCGCAATCAGAAAGAGGGTGTTGGATTTCACAGCCAGCCAAAGTGGTTAATTGGAGAATGTGATTTATGACATGGCCAGAGAGGAGGGGAGAGACAGGGTCAGAGGGGAACGTAAATCTACGTGGGATTAGTTCTAACTGCATCCGAATATTGCCGAAATGGTGCTCCTAATAAATGACTGTATTTCTTTTGAAGTTCAGCTCATGGCTCATGAATTAATTAGGGCATCTTTCGGAAACTTCACACTTGATTAGTTTCCATCCATTGCTTCTTATCCTACCCTCAGGTGCTTTGGAGAATAGATTCATCCCCTCTTCTTTGTAGCAGCCCCTCCCATATTGGAACAGGGCTATCACATCTCCCCTAGTCCTTAATAGAGACTTGGAGGCCTTCTAATCCAACCTCCTGCTCAAGCAGAAACCATATTTCATTTCAAACAAATGGTTGTCCAATTCTTCTTAAAAACTTCCAGTGATGGATCACCCACAACATCAGGAGGCAAGTCATTCCACTGATTAATAGTCAGGAAATTTCTCCTATTTCTAGCTTGGTTCTCTCCTTAATTAGTTTCCATCCATTGCTTGTGGTCCTTCCTTCAGGTGCTTTGGAAAATAGGTTGACCCTCTCTTTCTGCAGTCAAAGGTGAGCATTGTTATCAACAGACCTGCCATTTTCTTGCCGCTATATTCAGTTACTCCCCCACCCTAATACCCGGTTTATTTGTGATCTGTGTTGTGCGGTAGCAGGCAAGATCTGCTGTTGTAGCCAATCATATCAGAAGAATAGTTCTTCTCAGGTGGATGCAAATCTACAACGAATAAACCCTGTTTATTTCCACTAGTGCTGCGATTTGTCTTACCTTGCATATCCAAATCATTTGCCATGAGAAGCATTGCCCATAGCAGGGAGGCGTAAGTTGTGTCTGTCCCAGCAATAAAGAGGTCAGCAATGCAGAGAGCCAAGTTATCTTCATTATAAGTAGAATTGAGATCATCCTTCCCCTATAGTTATTAATAAGAAGAAGGAAATGTCATTGATAGGCATTTTCCTACAGCTACCAAAACTACTTTAAAGAAGCCTGTTCCTATATTAGCTCATGAACCATCTTGTTGTGATGACCTGGGGCTTGGCATAAAGGCGATGTCAGCACTTCAACCTGCATTTACTCTAGTGCTGACATAAGAAGGAGAAGAGGGGGCAGCTGGCAAGAGGACGCTTGACTTCTCACCTACTTATTTTCCCTGAAGATAATGTCCCCTAGGAGATGAGATGGGAGGGGGGGGACATTCCTGGGAGCTGAAGTACTAGATATGGGGAGAGTGATTTGGAAGCGAGCCAATGAGATGCTGAGAATTGGGGAACGGAAAGGGAAGGTCTGGGGTTAGGAAGTCAGTGTTGGCTACGCCACAGTCGGGGACAGATTGTCATACTTAATAAAATGAAAGATTTCTTCAAAGATTATTGGTTTGGAAATGCAAATTATTTTAATTAAGACGACATCAAAACCTGACAGGCAACACAGCCAGAGAATCGGTATGAATCCCTTTATTGGAACCAACTTTGCCTCCAATGTCCCTTTCACGGCCTGCAGAAAAGCTCTCCCACAAACCTGCAGATACTTCAGTCCAAACGCTGTAAACAGAATGACTGCAATCAATCACTCCAGCAGGGCAAGATAATGAGGCCCAGACGGGAAAAATAATCCCAGCAAGACAAAACAGGCACACAGTAGCATGGCAGTAATTCAAACAGTCAGGAGGGAATGCCAGGATTGTATGCCACAACTCTCAACACCAGATGAATTCAGCGTTTGTTCCCGACAAATGCCCTTCCCAACTGCCTCTCCTTTAAACTCCATCCCCAGGTGTGCCTTGTGAAGGAAAGCAGGGCCCTTTCTTTCCTCGTAAACCATGCAATCCATGTTGCTCTCTTCTGCGTGTGCCCTAGGATGAGGGGTGGGTGGGCTTTAGTCTTCATCTGAACCCCCTCTCCCTTGTTCTCCCTCTCCCCTGCTCTGCCCAGCCTGACTTTGCCCTTCCCCAGTTTCCTTCACAGCCAATGGAGCCACTCTCCTGCTCTCTGTCAGTTGTTCATCTTCCATTTCAGATTCAGGCTCCGACGGGGACATGACACTTGTCTGGGGAGAATGAGGCAGTAGTCCACACTATCAGGATGGCACAGGTTGCAAAGGGTGAATATAAAAAGTGGAACATGATTATTGAGTGAATACCCATTGCAGTGACCCACCCAACCTTTTGGGCATCAGGGATCGGAGGTGTGGAGAGAGACTTTTCCATGGATTTGAGGGGTCATGGTTTCATATGCTGTGCCTGAATCTTGTGGATGGGATTTCATTTGTTTGCACAGCCTGGTTTCTGGCATGCCGAGACCCAGTGCCAATCCATGACCAGGGATTGGGGATCCCTGCTTTAGAACAGTGTTTCCCAACCTTTCCAGCTTGGTAGACCGGAAGCAATGATGGTGGTAGGGTAGATGGGATGGTTTCATGTGCACTCTGCCACCACTTCAATGGCCAGTTCCGAATGGGGACCTCTGCTCTACAATAGTGTTTCTCAACCTTGGCCCCTTACAGATCAGTGGACTTCAATTCCCAGAATTCCCCAGTAAATCTAAGGAAGAAGAAGCACTTCTTTCTTCCATCCATTTAGAAAACCGAATGTTTTCAGCGGTATGGTGCTATGGATTGACTCTCCCAAGTGCTTCAAACCACAGAGGATTTCAGATGGAAAAACTACTGTAGAGTTAAGCCCCCCGTGAATTCAGACAACAAAAGGGAAAGAGGCAACGAATTCGGAGTGCATGACTATGCTTAGGAGGGCATGGCCTTTTTGAGTTGGACTAATCTGCATTTCCTGGTAAAATACATGGAAAAATCCCATTGGTGGGAATATCCACCTAGGGTTAGGGTTAGGCCTCCATGAAGTAGGACAGAAAAATGGTCGTCGGTAACGAATTCGGAGCTCATGGGTATATTTAGGAGGGCACTTCCTTTTTGAGTCTGACTTAGCTGCATTTCCTGGTAAAATACATGGAAAAATCCCATTGGTGGGTAAATCCACTTGTCAGCACTTCAAGCTGCATTTACTCTAGTGCTGACATAAGAAGGAGAAGCGGAGGCATCTGGAAAGGGACGTTTGACTTTTCACCTACTTATTTTCCCTGGAGATAATATCCCCTAGGAGATGGGATGGGAGGGGGGAAATTCCTTTGAGCTGGAGCAGTTGATTAGGGGTAGAGTGACTTGGAAGATGGCCAATGAGTGCAGGGGAGTGGGGAACGGAAAGGGAGGGTTTTGGGTCTGGAAGTCAGTGTTGGCTACGATGGAGTCGGATTTAGATTTAGAATCCCTGAAGATGTGGTTCTGCCAGCAGGCCTGGGGAACCCAGAGTGGGTTGGATCCCATTAAGTGGTTGGTATGAATGTGTGTTGTCGCTGAGGTGGGGGGTAATTTATTTTATTATTTTTCTTTTTTATTATTTTTATATCTTTTATATTGTCCTTTTATGTCTTTGTAATAATAATAATAATAATAATGTTATTTTTATAATAATATAATAATAATAAATAATAATAATAAAATAATAATAATATAATTATAAAAAAATAATAATTTAGAAATTCTAAATTTGCCGGACTTGAACATTTTGACTCTACAAAAAACCACCTTACTCGGAACAGCTTACATCCTCCGATGATACCTTAACAGTTCCTAGGTCCTTGGTTAGGACTTGAGCTGCTGAGCTATTAACCAGCCTCAAAGGCTGTGAATCTCACTAAAGATTAACCAATAATAATAATAACCTTTATTGCCATTGTACATATATACAATGAAATTGATTTAGCCCAGTGATGGTGAAACTTTTTCATGCCGAGGGCCCAATGCGCATGCGCGCACCGCCAAAATGCAATGTGAGTGCCCCCGCACATGCGCCCCACCCCCATGCATGTGCCACGCCCCACCCCACGCACATGCGCCTTGTCCCCCCTCTCCCATTTTTGGCTTCGAGGTTGGTGCAAAAGGCTTTCCAGGCCCAAAATGGAGTGGGGGGTGGGGGGGACCCACACAGTGCCCTGCATCCCATTTTGGCTTCCAGGTTGGTGCAGGAGGCCTTCCAGGCCCAAAATGGGGCATGGGGGCGCATGTCCGTGAACCTCCAAAATGCAATGCAAGCACCCCGTGCATGTAACCCACCCCCCACAGATGTACACGCCCATCCCCGACATGTGCCCTGCCCCCCGTGCATGTGCCACGCCGCCTCCCCCCACATGCATGCGCCTTGTCCCCCCTCACCCATTTTTGACTTCCAGGTTGGTGCAGGAGACCTTCCAAGGGGGCACGGAGGGGACGCATGTGCGTGAACCCCCCAAATGCAATGCAAGTGCCCCTGTGCATGCACATGCCCATCCCTCACATGTGCCCCGCCCCCCGTACATGCACGTCAGAGCCCTGAAGACTAGCTGGCCGGTGGGAGGCACAAACACATGTACATGCAGTGGAGCTGGGCCGGGGCGATGGCTGGCATGCCTGCAGAGAAGGTTCTACTTGCCACCTGTGTCATGCATGCCGTAGGTTCGCCATCACGGATTTAGCCTCTTTAAGCTGCCTTGAGTCACCATGTGCGAGCAGACAACTATATAAATTTTCTAAATAAATAAATAAATTGTGGTCAAGGACTTCCTGTAATGATTTATTTATTTATTTATTTATTTGTTTAAATTTCTATACCGCCCTTCTCCAAATAGGACTCAGGGCGGTGCACAGCCTAAGTAAAAACAAAGCATACAAAATTTAAAAAACAGTATTAAAATAATTAGATATTCTGGCCGTAAATTAAAACAACCCAATTTAAAACCAATTTAAAATTTAGCTCAAGCCAGCCCAGCTAGTTGAAATAAATAAGTTTTCAGGGCCCGACGAAAAATCCGGAGGTCTGTTATTATACGTAACTCCGGGGGAAGGTTATTCCAGAGGGTGGGCGCCGTCACAGAGAAGGCTCTCCCCCTGGGGGTCGCCAGCCGACATTGTCTGGCGGACGGCACCCTGAGGAGGCCCACTCTGTGCGAGCGTACTGGCCGGTGGGAGGCTATTGGTGGCAGTAGGCGGTCTCGTAAGTACCCTGGCCCTAAGCCATGGAGCGCTTTAAAGGTGGTCACCAACACCTTGAAGCGCACCCGGAAGACTACCGGGAGCCAGTGCAGCTCGCGCAGGAGAGGTGTCACATGGGAGCGCCTCGTCGCCCCCATAATCCCCCGCGCGGCCGCATTCTGGACCAGCTGGAGCCTCCGGGTGCACCCCAGGGGGAGCCCCATGTAGAGAGCGTTGCAGTAGTCCAGGCGGGAAGTGACTAGTGCCTGAGTGACTGTGCGTAGAGAGTCCCGATCTAGAAAGGGGCGCAACTGGCGTATCAGGCGAACCTGATAAAAAGCCCCCCTGGCCACGGCCGTCAAATGGTCTTCTAAAGACAGCCGTGCGTCCAGGAGGACGCCCAAGTTGCGAGCCCTCTCCGTGGGGGCGAGTGATTCGCCCCCAATAGCCAGCGATGGCGTCAGCTGGCTATATCGGGACGCTGGAAGCCACAGCCACTCAGTCTTGGAGGGGTTGAGTCGGAGCCTGTTTCTCCCCATCCAGGCCCGCACGGCCTCCAGGCACTGGGACATCACTTCAAGGGCATCGTTGGGGTGGCCTGGGGTGGAGATGTACAGCTGGGTGTCATCAGCGTACTGATGGAACTCCACCCCGAAGCCACGGATGATCTCACCCAGTGGCTTTACATAAATGTTGAACAGAAGGGGCGAGAGGACCGACCCTTGTGGCACCCCACAAGCAAGGTGCCTCGGGGTCGACCGCTGCCCCCCCGTCAACACAGATTGCGACCGGTCAGAGAGGTAGGAGGAGAACCACCGCAGAACGGTGCCCCCCACCCCCAACCCCGCCAACCGGTGCAACATGATACCATGGTCGATGGTATCAAAAGCTGCTGAGAGGTCTAACAGGACCAGGATAGAGGAGCAGCCCCTATCCCGAGCCCTCCAGAGATCATCCACCAACGCGACCAATGCCGTTTCCGTGCTGTGCCCAGGTCGGAAGCCGGACTGGAGCGGGTCTAGATAGACAGTTTCATCCAGGTACCGGGGAAGCTGTTGTGCTACCACACTCTCAACAACCTTCGCAACAAAGCGAAGGTTGGAGACTGGACGATAGTTAGCCAAAACAGCCGGATCCAGAGAGGGCTTCTTGAGGAGGGGCCTCACAACCGCTTCTTTCAAAGCGGCCGGCAGGACCCCCTCACTCAAAGAAGCGTTAACAATCTTCTGGAGCCAGCCTCGTGTCACCTCCCGGGAAGCCAGTACCAACCAGGAGGGACACGGGTCCAATAAACATGTGGTCGCATTCAGCCGTCCCAGGACCCTGTCCATGTCCTCGGGAGCCACAGGATCGAACTCCCCCCAGATAACACTCTCAAGACCTGCCTCAGTCATCCCATCCGGACATACCCAGTCAGAGGCCAGCCCTTCCCGAATCTGAGCGATTTTGTCATACAGATACTGCACAAAGTCCTCAGCTCGGCCCTGCAAGGGGTCATCCCGCGCTTCCAGATGGAGGAGGGAGTGGGTCACCCTAAACAGGGCGGCCGGGCGATTATCTGATGACGCGATAAGAGCGGCAAAATAGCTAGATTTTGCCGCTTTTATTGCCACTAGGTAGGTCTTAATATGAGACCTCACCAGTGTTCGGTCGGATTCGGAGCGGCTGGTCCTCCAACTACTCTCCAGGCGTCTTTTCCGGCACTTCATCTCCCTAAGCTCCTCGGAGAACCAAGGAGCTAGGTGAGTTCGGTGCCGGGTCAGAGGCCGCAAAGGCACGACACGGTCCAAGGCCCCGGCAGCCGCACTATCCCAGGCGGCCACCAGGTCCTCAGCCGAGTCGTGAGTCAGAGTCTCAGGAAATGGCCCAAGCTCCATCTGGAACCTATCAGGGTCCATCAGGCGCCTGGGGCGGAACCACCTGGTCGGTCCCGCCTCCCTGCGGCGGGGTGCAGCGGTTAGAAAGTCCAGTCGAAGGAGCGAGTGGTCAGACCATGACAAGGGTTCAATGACTATATCCCCTGTATCAAGGCCACTCGACCACTGACCAGAGACAAAAACTAAGTCCAGAGTGTGTCCACCCATGTGAGTGGGGTCATGAATTAACTGAGTAAGGTCCATGGCCGTCATGGAAGCCATGAACTCCCGAGCCACCTCAGACGTTTCGCCGACAGATGGCAGGTTGAAATCCCCCATGACTAGAAGTCTGGGGGTACCAACCGCCACCTCAGCTATGACGTTGAGCAGCTCAAGCAGGGCCGTTGCCACGCGGCAGGGAGCCAGGTACGTGATCAACAAGCCCATCTGTACTCCACGACCCCATCTCACAAAAAGGGACTCACATCCGGCTATCTGTGGAACAGTGGTCTCCCTCGGATCAAGACTTTCCTTTATAATAACCGCCACCCCCCCACCCCTGCCCTGAGCTCTCGGCTGATGGAATGCTCGGAAACCTGGTGGGCACATATCCACGAGGGGAACCCCCCCCCATGGCCCAACCAGGTCTCCATAATACCTGCCAGGTCCGCTCCCCCCTCCTGAATAAGATCGCAAATGAGGGGGGCTTTATTTACCACGGACCTGGCATTGCACGACAGCAGCCGAAGGCTCGGGCCCTGAGAGTCTGAACAGCCTGGGATACGAGAAGGGCTATGGGGACCGGGGCGCGCCACCGCTCGAAGATAGCGAGTGCGCGCCCCCACCACATGATGCGGCCCCCTGCTCCCGCCGTATCTGCCCCTCCCACTCAACACATTGATAGAAAAGCCCTCGACAGAATGGACTCTAATGTCCCCCTTACCCCCGGAATCTGCACCCTCCGTGGCCCCACTAATAGCTGGGCCGGACCCCTCCCCCCGTGGGTTAACCCCCAAACCCACACAACCCTCCCACCCCTTAAAATCCCTTAAAAATCTATCAAAAAGTTTCCCTAAAAAACCCCTCAATCCCCTTTTTGCAGCATGCCACCTCTCGGGGTGCCAAAGCCCGTCATAAAGGTAGGCCCTTGATAAAGTAGAGGGCCACACCTGCGAGAGGGGGGAGTCTCGCAGAATAAGAAGTTCTGTTGGTGAATACATCTAATCAATCAGTTAATTAATTAAGCTGGGGGAAGTCCAGAAGATCCTACAGAAGATACATTCTATAATGAATTGGAGCGGTGTGCCAAGGCTTACTTTCTCCATTTGCAATAGATAGAAATCAATGAAATCCTGTGGTCCATGCAAGTTCCGGTTCTCCTTATGCAGTGTAATTTCCTTCCTGGCAAACGAAACGATTGTCTCCAAAGCAGCTAGGGCAGTCTGGTGAGGGCCTGGCAGATGCTTCATGATATGTGGGAAACCTTCATAGAGCTATAAAAGAGAGGGGGGGGGAGGGAGGGAGGGAGGGAGGGAGAGAGAGAGAGAAGCTATCTATGGAGGTTTATTTATTTTATTTATTTATGGAATTTATATCCCGCCCTTCTCCCCGAAGGGACTCAGGGCGGTGAACAGCCGAAAATTAAAATAACATACAATATAAAAGTTAAGATAACTAAAAATAAATTAAATTAATCGGCCTCCCAATTTAAAACCCCAAGCTATACAATTAAAAAACTAACCCATAAAACCTATTCAGGCCAGGCCGGCTTGCTGAAATAAAAACGTCTTCAGGGCCTTACGGAAAGTGCGGAGATCCAGGATCAGCCGTATTCCGGGAGGTAGCTCGTTCCAGAGGGCAGGTGCCGCCACAGAGAAGGCTCTCCCCCTGGGGGCCGCCAGCCGACATTGCTTGACCGACGGCACCCTGAGGAGGCCCTTTCTGTGAGAGCGTATTGGCCGGTGGGAGGTTATCGGTAGCAGAAGGCGGTCTCGTAAATACCCTGGCCCTAAGCCATGGAGCCATGGAGGTTCTCAGTCATTCAGGTCACGGTTGTCCTAAGGGTGCCTTTTCCAAGAGGCAACTGATCTTTCTTGTTTTTTTTTTTTCTTTTGAAGACGTTTCGCTTCTCATCCAAGAAGCTTCCTCAGCTCTGACTACTGGATGGTGGGGAATGGAAAGATTTATACTCCTTGCAGACAGCTGGGCCGCTCTTTTGAAGACAGGAAAGTCCACATTTTGGACAGAGAGGACCCCTGGTTTGAAAGAGGGGTCAAAGAAATGGTATAGGGTTTCCTGCCTAAGCAGGAGGTTGGACTAGAAGACCTCCAAAGTCCCTTCCAACTATTCTATTCTATTCTATTCTATTCTATTCTATTCTATTCTATTCTCTATTCTATTCTCTATTCTATTCTATTCTGGGTCCTGGGTCTGGACTGGTTTAAGGGGGTGTTATGTATATAGTTTTGGCGGGAAGTTTAAATGTTAATTGGTCAATTGTGATTGATCAGCTCCCTGGCCGGCAAGGTATATAAAGGGAGCTGTTTTACTGTAACTTTTGCTAAAGTCTCACACTACATTAAAGAGCTGTTGTCACGCGCTACCTTGTCTCTGCCTCCTCTATCGCCCAACCTAACACTCGGCACACACACACATCCAAGCCAGTAGGGAAGGTAAGTGAATTTTACCTCAGGATCCCCTTGTATGACCTTCTGACAAGCAAAGTCAAGGGGGAAGCCAGATTCACTTAACAACTGTGTTAAATTAAATTAACAACTGCAGTGATCCACTTAACAACTATGGCAAGAAAGGTCATAACTTATTTATTTATTTATTTATTTATTTATTTATTTATTTATTTATTTTTATTTTATTTTATTTTTATACCACCCTTCTCCAACAGGACTCAGGGCGGTGAACAGCCACGGTAAAACACAACATATAAAATTTTTAAAAACAGTTTAAAAGACATTAAATAATTTCGGCCCTCAATTTAAAACAACCCAGTTAAAACCAATTTCAAATTAAAACCGAAAGGATGGGATCAAGCCAGTCCGGCTAAATGAAATAAATGAGTTTTCAGGGCCCGACGAAAAGTCCGGAGGTCTGGTATCGTGCGTATCTCTGGGGGTAGATCGTTCCAGAGGGCAGGTGCCGCCACCATTCTTGAGCTGCTGAGTTTCCTGTGTGTGTTTGCTTGACTTCTCCCTGGTTCAGGCCCGGACCATTTGAGAACTACCTGTATTCAATTTCTAAAGCCACCAACTCACCAATGATCATGGGCAGAAAATTCCATGGTCACCTCTCTGTCCTTAGGCTCATGTTCACCTTTATTCCAAAATGACCACCTTCAAACTTAAGGATCAACTTATTTCAAAGGGTACATTATTACTGTTGTATTATCATTCAAGAATGGCCAATATTTAACTGAGATGGGTCTCTTTTAAACACCATCAATCCATTGTTCTAGAAAATCTGAAATTAAGTAACTCAGATGGGTGTCCTGCCCCAGCTACGGACCCCAAAGAACGCAGCACACACAAAATCTATACAAAGCTTATTTTACTCAAATAACTCAGTCTTTTTCAAACAAAGGCTGTTAATAAACTTTCTTAACAGCCTACAAGAATCCTAAGATAAGGTAATCACAGTCTTACTAAGGTTGGCAGTAAGCCCAGAAGCAATTTTTGCAGAGAATCCAGACATGAAGGAGAGTGAACTAAAGTTGTTCCCTACAGCTTGCTGCAATCAGCGTTCCTGATTAAATAGGCTAAGAGAGTGGCCAGTTAGCCCCAAGCCTTACTTTCGAGGAAACCTCCTCCTGAGGAGCCACTCCTGCCTTTTGGCAGCTCTGCGCACCCATGCATTGAGAAGAGGCTCCTCCTCTTCGTCCTCTTCACTTAAGGGAGCTTCTGGATGTTCTGAAGGCCCTGGCTGAATCCCTGCCACTGACACCACATCTTCTCCAGCCTCCTCACTGTCCGACTCAAGCGCCAGCTGCACAGGCTGCTGGCGCAGCATCACACCAGCCTCCTCGTTGTCGGAATCAGCCATAATCTGCACAGGCTGCTGACAGGCCACAACAATTCGTAGGAAAAGGAAAAGCAAAGATGCTACAACTTACTATGTAGAAGATACTGTTTCCAAATTTTAAGGCAATCGAAATGGCCTTCATCAACTCCAGGAAGTCCTTATCGTCGATGGAAAAACGATATCCGAAAGCTACAGCACAAATCACACTGCAAACTGATCTCATGATGGCTAGCGATGGGTCAAATGGCTGGCCTGAAAACAAAAGAATTTGTATTTATATTCACATTAATTCTGCCTTTCCGGGTTATATCAAAACTTGGATGCCTGGTAGATCTTATTAGAAATACAGGTAATCGTTGGCCACATAATCATCTTTTGTGACCTTCTGACCACCAAAGTCAACGGGGAAGCCAGATTCACTTAACAACGATGTTACTAATTTAACAGCTGCAGTGATTCACTTAAAAACTGTGGCAATAAAGGCTGTAAAATGGGGGAAACTCTGTTAACAAATGTCTCACTTAGCAATGAAAACTTTGGGTTGCCAGCAGTTTGGAGTGGCAAGGAGCTTGTAGGGCATCGAGTTGTTCCCACGGCGAGTTAGCTGGTGAGACTTGTTCCGTCCCGACTCAGCCATCCAGAGTCAGCCACACCGAGTGAGCACCGTTGAGTTGACCACACCCACCCTGCCACACCCACCCTGCCACACCCACCCTGCCACGCCCACCTGGCTGTTGTGAGTCATCATTGTTTTATTTATTTATTTATTTATTTATTTATTTATTTATTTATTTATTTATTATATTTCTATGCCGCCTTTCTCCCGTAGAACTCAAGGCGGTGTACAGTCAAGAAAAATATAGATACACAAACATCATAAAATTGCTAATTAAAATTAAATTACATTTAATTTAAAATTAAAATTAATTATAATTAATTAATTAATTAATTTTACATGCAACTGGCCCTTTGAGGGCAACCATAATGCTGATGTGGCCCTCAATGAAATTGCGTTTGACACCCCTGGTATAGGATCTCCTCCTTGAGCAGGGAGTATGACTAGAAGACCTCCAAGATGCCTTCCAACTCTCTTACTCTGTTATTCTGACTGTGCAGTTATACTCAAGCCAACATCATCTAAGTTTGAGGGTTCCAAGTAACACCCCCAACGAAAGAAAACGCCGAGGCTTGTGTTTCCTCAAAGTTACGTTTTATTAGAGATGTCATATTGGCACATCTGGAAAAACCCGAACCTGAAAGCTTCCAGATTTTCTCCACCCAAAGGAAAGTCCCTGCCCAACACCCACATGTCCATCACATGATGCAATTCAAGCACCGTTCCAACTGGAAATGCCTCCCAGCCTTCCAGGTGCAGGGCAAGATGACCTTGACTCTCTGAGAAAGGAATGTTATTATGACTATATATCATCCTTGCCCCATACAATCCCTCCTCCCTGTTTCCCACAGTAGTAAATGTGGCAGTCCTGAAGGCCCAACAAAAAAAGACGGCTTCGAGGCCTGACACTCGGATTGTCACATACCCTTTGTCTCAGCAAAGAATTCCACAAGCTGTTGAGCCTCCTCTTGGATTTGCGATTCCATGCCTTTATTCCCCAGTCCCAATTTCCTCATGGTAACAACTCCAAACTGTCTTTGCTGCTGCCAGGTGTGACCATTTGAAAAGACGATACCTGACATCACCGAGACAGAAGAAACATTAGTGTTCACAGAAATGTAAAATTAATCAAGATTGACAGCCTTCAAAATGTACCTTGGTATGATAAAATGGGCACAAAATAACCAGGTCCACATGGCCTAGGACCTGGTTATTTACGGGACCGCCTACTACCACAAATAGTCTCCCACCGGCTGGTACGCTCTCATAGAGAGGGGCTCCTCCGGGTGCCGTCAGCCAAGCAGTGTCAACTGGCGGCGCCCAGGGGGAGAGCCTTCTCTGTGGGGGCACCCACTATCTGGAACGAGCTCCCCCCAGAGATACGGAGGATCCCGGATCTACGCACCTTCCGCCGTGCTCTTAAGACCCTCTTATTCCAGCAAGCCGGCCTGGCCTAATTTTTCTCCCCTTTCTTTTAAATTTTAAATTGAAATTTTAATTTGTTTTAAATTTATTGGGATTTTAATTGTCATGGGCTAAATTATTTAATTTGGTTTTAAATTGTTTTTAACTTTTGTATTTCTGTATTTTATCCTGTGCCTGTTCACCACGCTGAGTCCTTCGGGAGTAGGGCGGTATACAAATTTAATAAAACAAATTTAATAAAACAAACAAACAAAATTTTGAGGAACCAATAATGATGGAAACATGGGAAAGGATCTGGGTAAGAAATGTAACATTTACACAAGCTCAAAATCTGAGAGAAAATTTTTATAAAATGTTTTATAGATGGCATTTGGATCCTAAAAAGTTAGCTTGTATGTACCCAAACTTACAACCCAAATGTTGGAGATGTGATTGTGTTGATGCTACCTATTTTCATGTTTGGTGGACTTGTAAAAAAGTTAAAGCATTTGGGATAAAAATATGGTGGATTATTCAAAATATTTTTTTTAAAAAAAGGATAAAGTTTACTCCACAGTTGTTTTTGTTAGGTATAATTACAGATTGTACGGCTATAGAGACTAATTTGATTTTGAACTTAATAACTGCAGCAAGACTCTTGGTGGTGCAGTACTGGAAGAAGGAAGATTTACCTACTATTCAAGAATGGACATTAAAAGTAGTAAATTTAGCAGAAATGGCAAAAATTTCAGCATATCTAAAGGATCATTCAAATGAGAAATATATGTTAGAATGGAAAAGATGGATTGATTATATTCAAGGCAAATATCGGTCTAAAAAATTTCAAATAGCTTATGAATGATCAAAGAGATTTTATAAAGTACTTAAATTTAGTTTAGTAAAAGGGGAGTTAAAAGTTCAAGAGGGGGATAGGAGGCTATAGATAATTAGCTTATGTTAGCTTATGATTGTTAAATGTTATACCCTGTATTTTGCTCTGGGAAGTGGGGGGGGAGGGAAAGGAGAGGGTTGGAAGGGGAGCAGGGAGGGGGAAGGGGAAATGTCTGTAAAACTTTTTAAAACTTTTCAATAAAAAAAAAATTAAAAATGTACCTTGGTACTCATCAAATTTGCCACTTGATGCATTTTGATGTGAAAAATTTGTCACGGTATTCCTTGTTTGTTTGGTACTCAATGCACAAGTTAGAACTTGTTGGTGTCGGCTGCCTTGTGACTCCCTACATTATCCTTTGGGGGGGGGTGGAATTGTTTGGTACTCATTGAGGTTCCTGGAACCAATTCATGATGAGTACCCAGGTATCACTGTATATGCAGTTCAGCCTCCTGCGTTGAACAATCCAACCTCTTTTATCCATCTTTTTACATCGAATAGTAGTTTGTGTCTCAAACTGTCTGTCATAATGGAAAATGACCCAGATAGCCTCAACTGATACAAAGAAAACGACTCTACAGAAGTTCAGGATTCCCCGTTGGAGAGTTCTGAGCACCTTTTTAACCTCAAAGGTGGCTACTGAAGTCCCACATCCATCCTCTTCCTTGAAGGTCCCTCCTTACATGGAGGACCCAGATTGTTGGGGGCAAGAGGCTGACATTGTAAACCGTTAGAGAGGGGTGTAATGCACTGCGAAGCAGTATATAAGTCTAAGTGCTACGGCTATTACACAGTGGTGAAATGTAAAATTGCCTTGGTGCGCAGCAGACTAAAGTGCTGTTAAGTAACACCAGCTGCCTGCAATTGCTGCAAGTTCGAATCTCACCAGGCTCAAGGTTGACTCAGCCTTTCATCCTTTCGAGGTAGGTAAAATGAGGACCCGGATTGTGGGGGCAAAAAGCTGACTTTGTATAAAAAAGAACACCGCTTGGGGGGCCCGAAAGCCCTACTAAGCTGGTATATACAAAAGTATGAAGGCTATTGCTTAACGCATTGTAAGCCGCCCTGAGTCTCCGGAGAAGGGCGGCATATAAATCGAACCAATAAATAAATAAATAAATAAAAAATAAATAAATAAATAAATAAATAAATAAATTTGTTTCTACCGGTTCTGTGGGCGTGGCTTGGTGGTGGGGGGTAATGTGACTGGGTGGGCGTGGCCAACTTTTTTTTTTTTTTTTTTTACTTTTAAAGGCATTTTTTCTACAACCTTAAGAGGTTGCAGAAAAAAATGCTTTTAGAAGCCTCTGACGATCCCAGCGGAGCCGTGCGATCATCAGAGGCTTTTTTTTTTTAACTTTTAAAAGCCTTTTTTCGGCCGAAGAGGTTGTAGAAAAAATGGTTTTAAAAGTAAAAAAAAAAAAAAAGTTGGGCACGCCCACTCAGTCACATTATCCCCACCACCACCAAGCCACACCCACAGAATCGGTAGTAACATATTTTACATTTCACCACTGCTTCTTCTCATGGGAACCACTGTTCATCTTTCGGGAGTCTTGCAAAATCTGATAAACAGATGATACAATACTCTTTGCTTCATAAGAGAGTTGATGAATCCAGACCAAAGGGTAATCCTGGAGTTGTGTGCAGATAGGAGGATTAGAAAAGACTGTTAATTCCTTTTCAGGGGAGGTTCAGCCTTCTCCAACTGCCAGATACTTTAATCCGAACTTTGGACTGTCGGCCATATTGATTTTGACCCCACCCCAAACAAGACAGCACCCAATAACTCCTATAGCTATGACTTACCCCTTTTTTGAGTGGAAGCTAAAACGAAAGGTGTGACCGGGCGATCGGCAAAGGCTTCTGAATGGTCAATCAGTCCTTCTTTCACAGCTTGGTATCCAGAGAGGATTATAATATGATAAGGGCCTCCCCACAGAGAATAGACGTTCCCATATTGCTTGGCAAGCTGCAGATTGGAACATGGGAGAAAAATGGTTTACTGTATTAGACTTGCTGCATTTTTCGGACTATAAGACACACCTGAGTATAAGACGCACCAAGATTTTGAAGAGGAAAACAAGAAAAAAAGTTTTTGCCCTCCCCAGCCTCCAGGAGCACTCAGTAGGCCTCCCAAAGCCTCTGCGCCCCCTGTTTTTGTGAAAAACGGGCCAATTTTTCAAAATAAAATGGGACGCATGGGGTTGAGCTTCGGAAGGCCAAAAATGGCTGTATTCGGTGTATAAGACATACCAACATTTCTACCTTCTTTAGTGGGGGGGCAGTGTGTCTTATACTCTGGAAAGTACGGTAATTGATTACGTTGCAGTGTGTCTTATACTCTGAAAAGTACGGTAATTGATTATGTTGTCCCTGTTTCATACTTGGTCACTATGACTTGGAAAGCTTTAATCCACTACATGACTTGGATTAAAGATACTGTTCTTTTTTTTTTTTTCCAAAATTGTTTTATTTTTTTTTAAACATAAAACATAAAGTACATCATTTCAGAGCAAGAGTTTGGTCCGGCATAAAATGAGTACAATTATTCACATTCCTTCAATCAATTTTGTTCCAAATTTTATCCATTTACATCTTTAAAAAAAAGAAAAAAGAGAAAAAAAATCTTATTCTAAACATTTATCATTCTACTATTACACCCAAAATTCTAAACAATAAACACTATTCTAAATCTTTATCATTTTAACAATCAATATTTCATATATATTCCTCAATCCTAAAACCCATTATCTCAAATCTATATTTTACTTCTCTTAAATTTACTTCTCCGACTCAACCCTTCCAAGACCGAGTGGCTGTGGTTTCCGGCGTCCCGATATAGCCAGCTGGTGCCATCGCTGGCTATTAGGGGCGAATCTCTGGCCCCCACGGAGAGGGATCGTAACTTGGGCGTCTTCCTAGATGCACAGCTGTTTTTAGAAGAGCATATGACGGCCGTGGCCAGGGGGACTTTTTATCAGGTTCGCCTGATACGCCAGTTGCGTCCCTTTCTAGATCGGGACTCCCTACGCACGGTCACTCAGACACTTGTCACCTCCCGCCTGGACTACTGCAATGCTCTCTACATGGGGCTCCCCCTGGGGTGCACCTGGAGGCTCCAGCTGGTCCAGAATGCGGCCACGCGGGGGATTATGGGAGCGATGGGGCGCTCCCATGTGACACCTCTCCTGCGCGAGCTGCACTGGCTCCCGGTGGTCTTCCGGGTGCGCTTCAAGGTGTTGGTGACCACCTTTAAAGCGCTCCATGGCTTAGGGTCAGGGTATTTACGAGACCGCCTTCTGCCACCAATAGCCTCCCACCGGCCAGTACGCTCGCACAGAGAGGGCCTCCTCAGGGTGCCATCCGCCAAACAGTGTCAGCTGGCTACTCCCAGGGGGAGAGCCTTCTCTGTGGCGGCACCTGCCCTCTGGAATGACCTACCCCCAGAGATATGTACAATACCAGACCTCCGGACTTTTCGTCGGGCCCTGAAAACTTATTTATTTCACCTAGCCGGGCTGGCTTGATCCCACAGTTTTGGTTAATTTTAATTGATTTTAATTGGGTTTGTTTTAAATTGTGGCCAAAAATATTTAATTATTTTTAAACTGTTTTTAAATTTTGTATGTTCTGTTTTATTCTGGCTGTTCACCGCCCTGAGTCCTGCTGGAGAAGGGCGGTATACAAATTAAAATAAAATAAATAAATAAATAAAATAAATGACATCTAATATCCATAATCCTGACAAAAAGTATTTTCCTCCTCTCTTAAAGTCATTTCATAAACAATCAACATTTTCTTCTATAGTTTGTTACTTCCACAATACTTTATTTTATTTATTTCAAGTTTATTCTCATATTTTATTGAATCTAATTTTTAACTGGTTCATAGTTTAAATATCTATTTCCCAGCTGTATTTTCCAATACTCCTATCTGTATTTATTTAAAGATACTGTTCTTGTATCTTTAACTTTAACCAGTGTATAGCATTCACGGTAAAACAGAAGTAGTACTGGTAGTCCCCGACTTACAACAGTTGATTTAGTAACCATTCAAAGTTACAACAACACTGAAAAAAGGGAGTTATCACAGTTATGACCTCTGCAGCGTCCCCATGGTCACGTGATCAAAAATTGAGATGCTTGGCGACTGGTTGATATTTATGACGGTTGCTGTTTCCCAAAGTCACGTGATCCCCTTTTGCGGCCTTCTGAGAAGCCAAATCAGTGGGGAAGCCAGATTCACTTAACAACCAGGTTGCTAACTTGCCAATTTAACGACTGGGGGCAACAAAGGCCGTCAAATGGAGCAAAACTCATTTAGCAAATGTCTCACTTAACAACAGAAATCGTGGTCGTAAGTCCAGGACTACCTCTTGAAGCAACAGCAGCAGCATTAATAACTGTCAGTCATAATGGAAAATGTGGACTTTTCATGTCCCAAATAGCCTCAACTGATACAGAGAAAACGACTCTACAGAAGTTCAGATGAAGAAGGGAGAATACTAATGCATTGGCATCCTTCAGTCTCAAGAGACCATGGTATCGTGCTCTGAAAGAGGTCCTAAAACAGCATCTAGTGTGATTAAAAGGCCAATTCGAGAGTGGCAATCCCTTCCACATGGAGAACAGATACATTCTGTCCCCTGCCCAGCCCCAGATTTTGCTGGTTCTGGGACTGCCTCTTTGCCTCAAGTGTCTCTTCGAATTGGAGAAGGCCATGCATGAATACTAATGATGGTTGTACTAATAAACCAGAAACAAACCCTCTTGATTGCAATATACCCTCCAAATAATAAGCAGGAAGAGTTTTACAAAAGACTTCATAAAAAGATAACCGAAATGGACCTATGAAAATATATGCATAATAGGAGATTTCAATGCAATTGTAGACATTAAAAACGATTACAGAAGCAGCAAAAGAAGCAAAAAAAAAACAAAACAAGAACACTTCCAAAAATCTTCTGTGAAATGACACAAGAAATAGGCTCGTAGGATGTATGGAGAAAGCTAAACCTAAAGGTAAACCAATACGCATTCTACTTGAACAGACATCAATCGTGGTCGAGAATAGACATGGTGTAGATGACATCCAGAATGAGATGGAAATGTGATAAAGAAAAATGTATAATTAATTTTTTTAAAAAAAAACAAAAAGAAGTAGTTCAGGATTTCCTGTTGGAGAGTTCTGAGCACCTTTTTAACTTCATACTCTGTTTCCCCAAAAATAAGACATCCCTTGATAATAAGCCCAATCCGGCTTTTTTTTTTTTTTTAATTTGATTTATATGCCGCCCTTCTCCGGAGACTCATGGCGGCTTACAATGTGTTAAGCAATAGCCTTCATCCTTTTGTATATTTATACAAAGTCAGCTTATTGCCCCCACAAACTGGGTCCTCAATTTACCTACCTTAGAAAGGATGGAAGGCTGAGTCAACCTTGAGCCTTGGCGAGATTCGAACCAGCAGTAATTGCAGGCAGCTGAATGTTAATAACAGGCTATTAGTCTGCTGTGCCACCAGGCTCTTATTTTGCGTGCATGCGCTAAAATAAGCCTCCCCCTGAAAATAAGCCCTCCCCAAAAATATTTAAATGCAGAGCTGGAAATCAGGTAAGACGGCAAGAGGAGCCCCGTCTTTCTCCACGTGCCCCAAAATAACAAGACCTCCCTGAAAATAAGGCCAAGTGCTTATTTCGGGATTCAAAAAAATATAAGACAGGGTCTTATTTTCGGGGAAACACGGTAGGTGCTACTGAAGTCCCACGTCCTTCCTCTTCCTTGAAGGTCTGCAACCAGGCCCCGCAGCGCCAGGGAACACGGGATCACCCGGCAGTGGGGACGGAGAGGGAGAAGGGGGTGATCGCTAGCAGAGAGGGGAGAGTGTGAGGTTGATGCTTCTGGGACCAGGGGAGCCGGGAAGTGTCCGGGTCCAGCTCCCCCAGCCTCTCTTCCTCTCACAACCACATGTGAAAAATTGTTTCACTGAATTCACTGGAATGCACATTTAAGTACACATTTACAGAATCAAGCTGTACTTCAATTAAAACATATTCTGGCATATAGTTTGCATAAGGTGGTTACATTATGATATTGTTCCAGAATTGTATTGCTATACTAGCCGTTTATAAATTACTGAGCAGGACTACAGTACCTTTGTTAATATTATACTTTCATTTATGTTCACATACCTCTAATGCAGTGTTTCTCAACCTTGGTAGCTTGAAGATGGGTGCACTTCAACTCCCAGAATCCCCCAGCCAGCAGCACTGGCTGGGGGATTCTGGGAGTTTATTTATTTATTTATTCTATTTTATTTGTATACCGCCCTTCTCCAGCAGGACTCAGGGTGGTGAACAGCCACGGTAAAACACAACATATAAAATTTAAAAGCAGTTTAAAAGACATTAAATAATTTTGGCCATCAATTTAAAACAACCCAGTTAAAACCAATTACAAATTAAAACCGAAAGGATGGGATCAAGCCAGCCCGGCTACATGAAATAGATGTGTTTTCAGGGCCCGCCGAAAAGTCCGGAGGTCTGGTATCGTGCGTATCTCTGGGGGTAGGTCATTCCAGAGGGCAGGTGCCGCCACAGAGAAGGCTCTCCCCCTGGGGGTCGCCAGCCGACATTGTCTGGCCAACAGCACCCTGAGGAGGCCCTCTCTGTGGGAGCGAACTGGCCGGTGGGAGGCTATTGGCGGCAGAAGACGGTCTCGTAGATACCCCGGCCCTAAGCCATGGAGCGCTTTAAAGGTGGTCACCAACACCCATCTTCAAGCTTCCAAGGTTGAGAAACACTGCTCTAGTGGCTTCATAAGAAATTGTTTTTATAAAGACACTCCATTCTAAATCATTACAAACCTGAAACAGTTGTGGCAAACAATGCTTAGCAAAGATCATGTGAATTCTTTTTTTTTTTCTCTTTCAGTTTTTGCTTGACGAAGGCCTCCCAAATTGTGTAACATTTCCCATGGATCTGGGCCAGCTTCCGAAGTAGTTCAAGCCTGCCTCCACATCATTTCATCTCTCCTTCCGGCTTCCAGCCATCCATGTTTTTCATCTGCAATTCTCTTGGGCCTCTTAGGAGTTGGTCACGGCCACCCAGTCACGGCCACCCACGCCAACCCAGCCAGACATTAGGGCAGAGAACTGGTTGTTAAATTATTTGAATCTCACCAGTTTATACCTCTGAAAAAGTGTGCTTACAGCCTATTCTTCTAAGTTCCTGGCCCAAACTCTGGAAATCATTCTGCACAGAGAGTATACTTTTTGAGGACAGATCATTTGTGTCAAGATGTAGAAGAGCATCAACATTATACTTCCTTACTCAGGGGTGGGCTGCTGGGGGTTCCAAGGGGTTCGGGAGAAACTCTAGCTAAGATTCTGTGCAGTTCGGAGAACCCCCAAATCCCAGTCCTGGCTGGCCCCATCTGTCCCACCCCTCCCTTCCCAGGAGTCCCCACGCGGCCTGTTTTGGATGCAGGCAAGTGCAGGGCGTGCGCGGAGGCTCGGGGAGGGTGAAAAACAGGCCTACCAGAAGTTCGGGAAGAGTGCCCTCCAGAGGGCCTCCAGAGCCTGGGGAGGCCATTTTCGCCCTCCTGGAAGCTCAAGGAAAACCTCCGGAGCCTGGGGAGGGCAAAAACGCCCACGCCCCCCCGCCATGGTGCAGGATGTCACTGCGTTTTTGTATTTACCAGCTGAGCTCATATTTCTGGACTGTCAGTCTTTCCGTAGCTTGCCAAGTTTGTTATCAATAAGCTAACTACGCATGTCCGCATTCCTTTCTTTCTACTTCACACTTTCCTGCCAAGAAGTCCGACCACAGAGAGGTGGCCAGCAGGAACGTTGCCAAAAAGTAATTATTTAGATTAGTAAGATGTTTTATTTTCTTTATAACAAATAAATGAGTTTATTCTTAGAAGAAATATCTTCGGGGTTTATTTTCTTGCAAAGGTATACACAAGGAAAATGCCACGATCCACGTCTCTAAATCAAGGTGCGATTACCCAAAAGCAGAATGGGATTAATTAGCACCCTGACACAGGAGGCCGACTAGACCATGCCCATTATGGCCACGGCCACCCAGCAACCGGGTAGAGAACCCCTTGCTAAAATTTTTGAAGCCCACCCCGTCCTTACTGACATTCTTGCCTATCTTAAAAATACGCCTCTTGTCTCTGCTGGCAGTAGCACCTGGCAGACACCTGAGCTCTTTCAAAACCTCTGCATCCTTTCCTAAATTGATATCCCTTACCATTGAATCACCAACCAGAAGGTGGCTTCTCTTTTTAAATACCTTGCTCTTCTTGCGTGACTGATGTGTAATACCCGATTCACAACTTTCCCCTATCCAAAATTAGCTCTTCATCTCGGACCACGATCTCCTGCTCACTTGAATTATCAAGGTCCCTCAAGATGGGCTATCTCGCCTCTCCTCTTAAAATTTACATGAAACCTCTGAATGAGGTCATTCACCAGAATGGGGTTTGGTGTCATCAGTATGCTGACGATACCCAATTTTACAGAACATTTCCACTTGTGGTGCACATTGTACAAATGCAGTTTGAGGGATTTGCTTATCCTAATTAATTGTGTTGTGCAAATGAAGTGAAATGATTATCTTGAAAGGCAGCTGGAACGTATTATACTGTAATCAAGATTGTGCAATAAGAAGAAGAAAGACAGAAGTTGGAGCTGCTCTCTCAACTAGAGTTGGCTTCTAGATGCTTGCTAAGAAAGGATTTTTCAAAATGACCCTCAGATCATTAATATTCCATATACAGTATATTCATATGCAGTATATTAACAGACTCTGACGCTAAGGAGCAGGGGTGAAATCCAGCAGGTTCTGACAGGTTCTGGAGAACCGGTAGCGGAAATTTTGAGTAGTTTGGAGAACTGGCAAATACCACCTCTGGCTGGCCCCAGAGTGGGGTGGGAATGGAAATTTTGCAATATCCTTCCCTTGCCACACCCACCAGGCCATGCCTACCAAACCAAGCCAAACCACAGCACACCCACCAAGCCACGCCCACAAAACTGGTAGTAAAAAAATGTGGATTTCACCACTTCTAAGGAGTTAGATGTTCTACTCCCCCTCCACACCTGAAAAGTTCCAACTGCCACTTGCCTCACATTCCGTTACCTCAGGTCAAACTAGCAGATGTTCCACTCCTTCACTCAGGAGCAGTCTGGGGCTCCTTACAGTACTAAATGTCACTTCCTCACCAAAATGTGTACTCCTTCCACCTATGGAACTGCTTCCGGACTCAAGGCGGTGGGAGAGATATTCCCTTATGTGTTTCAATCACCGACCACCACTGAACCAATGGATTGTGAACCGAATTTCTCCTGCATAGTGTCCCAGCCCCAACTCACTTCTTATACTGACCTCCGCAGTTCAGATGAATTTGTTCCTTCTACTGTAACACCAGTTAAAGGGAAAAGGGGGGGAAAAACGCAGGAAAAGATTTACAGATGCAATTAGGAAAACACAAGTAAGGGAAGCTGCAAAAAAAAGTATTGTCGAAATCATCCCAAAGTCAATAGAGAGGCTGTAAAAAAGTATGCATCTAATAAACCAGGGGTGAAATCCAACAGGTTCTGACAGGTTCTGGAGAACCGGTAGCGGATATCTTGAGCAATTCAGAGAACTGGTAGCGGAAATTTTGAGTAGTTCGGAGAACCGGTAGCGGAAATTTTGAGTAGTTCGGAGAACCGGCAAATACCACCTCTGGCTGGCCCCAGAGTGGGGTGGGAATGGATATTTTGCAGTATCCTTCCCTCAGGAATAGGTAGGGAATGGGGATTTTGCAGTAACCTTCCTCTGCCACGCCCATCAAGCCACACCACACCCACCAAGCCACAGAACGGGTAGTAAAAAAAATTGGATTTCACCACTGTAATAAACCCTACATTAATCAGGCAGCTACAGTAAGGTGACCAGATTTTAACATTGGTAAAGAGGGACATTGTGGGTGTGGCTTATTTTGTGGGCGTGGCTAGCTGTCATGTGACTGGGTAGGCGTGGCTAGCTGGTCATGTGACTGGGTGGGCGTGGCTAGCTGGTCTGATAACGCACCCAAATTCCACAATAACAATATCAGCTTGGAAACAAGTGAGCAAATTTTGCCAGGTACAAGATTTCAGGTAGGGACAGCAGAAGATCCAGATGTTGGCCTCAATTCTGTCCAAAATTACATACTGAGTCCAAATAACCATTTTGCACTGGACATTAGAGAAAGAAAAGATGGGCTTAAATATGCAGAACTGGTGCTGCAGAAACCCCTTGATCGGGAAAGCGAACAGAGCCTTCACTTGATCCTTACAGCCCTGGATGGGGGTGAACCAAGGAAAACTGGAACTGCCCATATATGGATTAATGTCACTGATGCCAATGACAACCCGCCCATTTTCACTCAAGATACATATACAGTTAATTTGAAAGAAAGTGTTCCAGTTGGATCCCTTGTGCTTCAGGTGGAAGCCTCTGATAAAGATGAAGGGACAAATGCCCAAATCACATATCATTTCAGCAACTTACCAGCAACTGCAAAGGACAAATTCAGCCTGGATTCTGCTAAAGGAACTGTCATTCTTAGTGTCCTACTGGATTTTGAGGAAATAAAACAATATACAATGACAGTTGTAGCAAAAAGATGGGGCGGATTAATAGCACACTCCAATATTGAAATAAGTGTTCTAGATGAGAATGATAATCCCCCAGAGACAACTCTAACCTCTCTGTTCAGTCCAGTTCCTGAAGATTCACTTCCTGGAACACTGATTGCTCTCCTCAGTGTAAATGACAAGGATGCTGGTGATAATGGAGAGACTACATGTTATTTGCAAAATAATTTGCCATTTAAGTTGCTTCCATCATCTAAAAATTACTACAAGCTCATGACAGACAGACCTCTGGACAGAGAAAAAGCATCTCAGTATAATATTACAATCACAGCCATTGACAAGGGAACCCCTCCACTGAGCGCAAATAAAACCATCTTGCTGCAGATCTCTGATATGAATGACAATGCTCCTGCTTTTGAAAAAGCTTCCTACAGCATCTATGTGCCAGAGAACAATCTTTCTGGTGCTTCCATCTTCCAGATTCAAGCCTTTGATCCGGATGTGGATCAAAACTCACACATCACATATTCAATCCTCACCAGCAACATTGAAGAACTTCCCATCTCCTCCTATATCTCCATTCACTTTGAGACCGGCATCATCTATGCCCAGCGATCCTTTGACTATGAGCAGTTCAGGGAATTCCAGTTGCAGGTGAAGGCCCAAGATGGCGGGAGTCCCCCTCTCAGCAGCAACGTCACAGTGAGGGTGTTTATCCTGGATCGGAATGATAACAGCCCCCAAATCCTGTCCCCTTCACCAGACTCCAAGGACTCTGCCCTCTTTGAGATGGTCCCTCATTCAGCCGAGGCAGATTATCTGGTAACAAAGGTGGTGGCTGTGGATGCTGATTCTGGACACAACGCCTGGCTCTCCTACCAGCTGATTCAAGCCACAGAACCAGCTCTCTTCAGTGTTGGCTCCCATACGGGTGAGATCAGGACAGCTAGAACCTTTTTGGAAAGAGATGCTGTGAAACAGAGATTGGTCCTTCTGGTGAAGGATAATGGACAACCGACTCTCTCGGCCTCTGTCACTTTGAACCTGGTATTTGCTGAGAACTTTCAGGAGGCCCTTCCAGAGATGAAAAATCAGATGAAGAGTTCAGAGGATCAATCAGATTTGCAGTTCTATTTGGTGGTGGCCTTAGCTGTGATGTCATTTTTATTCCTCTTGTCAGTGATTCTGGCCATTGCCATCAAACTCAGGCAATCAGGGAATTCTAGTTTCTTATCATGTTTTGCTCCCGTTTCCCATTCCACAGCTGGGGTCATATTTCCACCCAATTTTCAAGATGGGACTCTGCCTTATTCCTACCAGCTTTGCCTCTCCTCAGAATCCAGAAAGAATGAATTTACCTTCCTGGCACCAAACATTCATATTGCAGAGAATGTGCTTTGTGGTGAAAAAACTGAAGCGCCTCTTTCAAGCAACAGAGAAAGCAGTTTGCATCCTAAGGTAGAAAATAATGAAAAGGTAATATTCTTTTTTTATTGCTCTTCCCATAATTATGCTCCTTACGAAACAAACACAATCCTATACAAGCTATTTTATAAGATTTAATTGAACTCTATGTAATATGACAAACTATTTTAAAATTAACGTATACACTGAAACTCAAAATCATGTTAGATTGTTGCTATTAGAAAATAATAGGTGATAGAAAATATGGAACAAACATTATGATCAATTATCATTGTAAAAAAGGAAAAACAGGATATATATATATATATATATATATATATATATATATATATATATATATATATATATATATATATGTAGGTATGTAGGTATTGCTAAAATAGGATAAAAATTATAAATTAGAACCTTTTAAGCTAATTTAAATCTATTAACTATAAAACCTTATCTTTTTTTTTTTTTTGCTACTTTACAATCCTTGATTATGTTTACATAAGTAGTAAATTAAAAAAAATAAAACAGGGGAAGTAGATAAAGTGGAACACAATGTAGAATTTTGCCTTTCTAGTTCTGCTGATTTTTTAACTGTAAGGTACATATGCTTTTGTTCATGTTCAGAGCAAAATCTTGCAACTTGTATCAACATATTAGCAGCTATATCCTTCAATAATAAGTGAAGGTAAAATTCTCTGGACTCCTCTTTAAACCTTTTAGTAAGTGGATTTATCCTATATCTGGCGTCATCATAAAAAGGGTAGTTTAGAAGATTTTGTAAATAACTAGACAAGTCATGATCCATTTTAGAGGTATTTCCTCTAAACAAATAAACAGAATGACCATGGATGGGCAAAATAACAAGCGGAACAGGAGCAATTTCTGACTTCCTGCTGTCTTCCTCATTTCCTTATAAGAAGTTGGCAGGGAGCATACAAAATAACAATCACATGACTGGCTGATCATGACAGCACAGCAGCACTTATATAGCCACAACTTTGCCAAATTTCAATCCCATAGGAATCATGGGTACAGGGTTTTGGACAAATTCTGTAAATTAGCCCATTGAAAGTACACTGATTCAAAAATTGTTGCCCAGTTTGCCCAATTGAAGGTTTGCCCAATTGAATTATTGAAGAAACAAGAATTTTAGTAATATATAGATTGGCCAGGGCACCAATAGTACTTTCAACCAATGAGTGACAGAAGTCTAAGGCTTGACCCAGCTTTTTCCAGTGATCCATATCAGCTATCCTTTCATTAAGCATTCTCATGTCATCAAATATCCAGTTAACTTGTATATTCACTCATTGATAATAAATGTTTTTTTTCTGCAAACTAATTGTCATCTTTATAGTTGCTCATTAACAACAAAAGGAGCACTCCACTGAAGTTTAAAGTAACTCTGATCTAGTTGTTAGTATCCTGAATCAGGTTGGGGTTTATTTGGCAAGCCTGCTTACAGTTTCAGTTACAATTTAGACATATTATAGCCATCAGGAAAGTTCATTGAATCTGTTGGTTATAAAATGTGAAAATGGATTACATACATCATTCATACTAATGATTTGGCAGGAAACAGCATATTTTCTACTGGAGTTAATTTTCCTTCTTAATATCTGTAAAATCTTGGAATGACTGCAGAATTCTTTTGCACCTTCAAAGTGGCATAGATTATTCAAACCTTTGATTTCCTATTGCTTTGCAAAACAACTGCTAGATATTTATACTTTAAAGTTGTTTGACTGCATGGCTATTAATTGTCCATAGAACATAGGATCACAGGGCTGGAAGGGACCTTGGAGGTTTTCTACTTCAAACCTACTCCAGGCGGGAGACCTTATACCATCCCAGTCAAATAGTTGTTAGTCTATTTTTGAAAACCTTCAGTGATGGAGCATGTATAATTCTGGGAGGCAAGCTGTTGCATTGATTAATTGTTCTCACTGTCAGAACATTTTTGCGTACTTCTAGCTTGGACTTCTCTTTAACACGCTTCCACCCATTACTATTTGTTCTGCCCTTTGGTGCTTTGGAGAATAAGTCAATCCCCTCTTCTCTGTGACCGCCCCTCAATTACTGGGAGATAATTATCATACTCCCTCTAATTCTTCTCTTTGAAAGGCTAAATATGCCTAGCTCCCTCAACCATTCATTATACAATTTAGTCTCAAAATGCTTTATCATCTTTGCTGCACTTCTCTGAGCACTTTCTAGGGTCTCAGCACAGTGGTGGAATTCAAATTACTTCCGGTTCTGTGGCCATGGCTTTATGGGTGTGGTGTGGCTTGGTGGGCGTGGCATGGCAGGGGAAGGATACTGCAAAATCCCCATTCCCTCCCCACTCTGGGCCAGCCAGAGGTGGTATTTGCCAGTTCTCCGAACTACTCAAAATTTCCGCTACCGGTTCTCCGAACTGCTCAAAATTTTCATTACTGGTTCTCCAGAACCTATCAGAATCTACTGAATAGCATCCCTGTCTCAGCATCTTTTTTGTATCTTGATGACCAGAAGTGTATGAGTATTCCAATTATGACTTCAGTAGTGTGATATAAAGTTCTCATAATCTTGATGCTATCCCTTTTTTGATGCAGCCTTGGACTGCATTGGCTTTTTTGATAGCCGCAGCACATTGCTGGCTCATACTCAAGTGAAAGTCCACTAGGATACCTGAATCCCTTTCAGAGTTTTTACTGTTGAGCCACATACCACCTATTCTGGACCTATGCATTTGGTTTTTCCTGCCTAAATGCAGAACTTTACTTTTCTCAACTTTTCTGAACTGCATCTTGTTAGATGACACCTAATGCTCAAGTCTGTCAAGATCCTTTTGAATCTTGATTCTATCTTTAGCATTTCACTGGTCCACTAATTTAGTCACTTTATCAAAGAAGGCTATAAGGTTTGTTTGGCATGACTTGTTATTAACCCATGCTGGGTTCTAGTAGTCATCTTGTTTGTTTCTACATGCTTACAAATCCTGCACTTGATTATGTTTTCCAGGATTTCCCCAGATTTTGATGTCAAGCTGATTGGCCTAAAACGTCCTAGACATTTTAGCCCCCCCCACCCCACCCCACCTTCTTGTAGATTGGAATCACATCAGCTCTTTTCCAGACCTCTTGTAGTTTCCCTGTCTACAGGAGCTTTGAAAGGTTACATTCAGTCATTCTGAGATTAAGTCCTGTAGATCCCTGGCACTGAAATCATCTGGTCCAGGTCAGTGGTGGGTTGCCCCTGGTTCGGACTGGTTCTATAGAACCGGTATTAAAACCAGCGAGAGCTACGCCTACTGATCCTGATGTCATGAGACGCGATCTGCGCATGCGCAGAAGCAAGGCGCATGCAATCCCATTGCGAACCGGTAATAAAGATAAGTAGAACCCACCCCTGGTCCAGGTAAATTGTAGACTAATAAAGGATAATATTTGTAGCCCAGGGTTGAAATGAAGGGTCCTTGGTGCTTTGCTAGCATTGATAATATTACCTGGTTAGGGTAATGAAACATCTGCCAGAAAACAAGCAAACTCAGAGACTACCAAGGACCCCTCAATTTGTAGACTAGATAGATGTGTATTCTCTTATTAATTCCTTGTCTATTTTGACTTGTATACCTGTTCTATCTCCCTTGTGGCTGTTTTTATAGTTTGGGTTTTTTTCTTCCATGTGTGTAAAAACTGATGTGAAGAAGGAATTGAGCAGCTCCTTTCTGGTTTCTTCCTGCTTTCTGTTATCTTCCTGCCATCTACTTCCATTAGTAGACCAATAATTTCCTTCACTTTCTTCTTGTTTTTTTTTTACATATTGAAAGGAACTTCTTAAATTATTTTTTGCATTAGTTGCCAGTTTTATCCTTGCAGATTTGGGCTATTTGCTAGTATTCTGTTTTAGTTATGTCTCCCTCTTTCCAATTTTTATTTTTGGCCTTTATGTCCCTCAATTTGACAGAGAACACTTTGTGTAACCATGCTAGTCTCTTCTGGTGTCTTTTGTTTTTCTTTCTCTGTGATATTGTTTTTGTTTGGGCCTTCAATACCTCATTTTTCCACATTTCCCAAGCACCTTGAGGTATTTTTACTTTTAGAATTTCCATTCATGGAATCCTTCCTAATTTGTCTGTTAGTAAATTAGAATTTAAGTCAGTTTTCTTAAATTCTACAACATTAATGTGATTTGGTTCAGTTACTGTGGTTGCATTATGATGGACTCAAATATAACATGGTCACTCTCCTACAAAGTTCCTATAACTTCTACTCCTCGACCATTTCTTCCCTATTAGTATATTATTAGTATATAGCAGTGGTGAAATCCAATTTTTTTTACTACCGGTTCTGTGGGCGTGGCTTGGTGAGCGTGGCAGGGGAAGGATACTTCAAATTCTCCATTCCCATGCCACTCCAGGGGAAGGATACTGCAAAATCCCAATCTTTAACTAATTCCGTTTCTGAATCCCTTTCTAGCAAAACATTGTAAAGCCTTTTAATATGCATTGGACCTTTCTCTCTTATATGTCTAACCAATTCTTCCTCATGCAACATAATACCAGTTTTTTGGTCCTCTTTCCATCTCAGTTGTAATTGATTATATTGTAACCAGGTTAAATTAATCCCTTCGTCCAACAGTGTCTGCAATGTCTTCAACTGCCATCTGCCCGCATCTGTAAAAAGAACCTCTTTGTATAAAAACCCCCCGAGTGACATTATATTTGTATTCCACAAGGTATGACCAAGATCCAGCCATAGCGGTATTTTATAATCCCATTTGAGTCGGTGCTTCTTCCAAACTCTCATCAAAGAGTCTCTAAGTATATGACTTTTAAATACTTTATCAACTTTGTCATCATAAAATAGGTAAGCGTGCCATCCAAATTCAAGATCAAAACTTTCTACATTCAATATTCCAGCCTTTTTACTTCCAAACCAATCACTTGTTAAAGTTAAAGCTACTGCATCATAATATAACTGCAGGTTTGGAAGTTTAAGGCCTCCTCTTTCTGGAACATCTTGCATAATTTTCAATTTCACTCTCGGCTTTTTCTCGTTCCAGACAAACTTATTAAGTCCAGTTTGCCAAACTTTCAGTTGTTTATCACTTTTAAGCACCGGAATCATTTGAAACAAAAACAGAAATCTTGGCAAAATGTTCATCTTAACTGCTGCTATTCTTCCAAGTAAAGACAGTTGCAGCTTTTTCCAAGTCTCTATGTCTTTCTGAACCTCTCGCCACAACACCTCATAGTTATTTTGAAACAATTTCATATTTGATTCTGCAACCTGAACTCCAAGATATTTTAC